GCAGGGGATTGGGGAGCAGCACAGGGAGAAAAGGGGCAGGCCAGGCCAGACCCTGTTCCTACCTTCTACAGATGGTTAAAGTCTTATCATGACTATGTATAGCTTAGAAATCCGAAATTGGCAAACACGACAAATTGGGCTTGATTTACTCTTTTGTTGATTTCCCAGACTTAACAAAATGATGGAGAAAATGTTAATAGCTCGAAATAAATTTTGAAGTGTGTCCTGTGCATGTCCCTGAGCACACGTGATACAGAAACAGACATGAGTGAAAAGATCAAGAGAGAGAAATACAAAATCTGGGTCTAAAAAATCCACTTCTTCATGTGAGTCAGCAATGTGACTCAGGGGCTAAAACTCTTATGTTTCTTGGGCTGCTTTGTGTCATGTGAACACAGAATGCACCGTGGACATCTTCATCTGAGACCAAGCATTGTTTGGTCAGCCACAGGTTCCTGGGGCACCCCCTGGAGACCGCCTGCCAAGCTGACATTGAACTTTGTGACTGACTGACTACTCTTTGGGTCTAGCCATCTAACTACTTTCAAACCACCCCCCGATGTGTTCACATGGAGGTCACCTATCACAGGAGAACAACACAGCGGACTTGTTCAAACTGCCTACAACATTCTCTGATGTACTACCAGGAGAGAGAGACAGAGACAGAGAAACAAAGAGAGCAACAGAGAGACAGAGACAGAGACAGAGAGGAGGAAGAGGAGGAGGGGGAGGGGAGGGGAGGGGGAGGGGGGAGGGGGAGGAGGGGGAAGAGAAGGAGAAGGAGGGGGAGGAGAAGGAGGAGAAGAAGGAGGAGAAGAAGAAGAAGAAGAAGAGAAGAAGAAGAAGAAGAGAAGAAGAAGAAGAAGAAGGAGAAGGAGAAGAAAAAGAAGGAGAAGAAGAAGAAAAGAAGAAGAAGAAGAAGAAGAAGAAGAAGAAGAAGAAGAAGAAGGAGAAGAAGAAGGAGAAGAAGAAGGAAGGGAGGGAGAGAGAAAGGAAGAAAGGAAGGTGAAATCAAGTTGAGTTATGACTTGTTCTTGATGGGAAAAGGCTGGTGTTTTGAGCATCACTTCTTTTGGTAGACTTTCACAGCCATCTCCTTACTGATCTGTCCTAGACTTTGCCCAGCAGTAGAAAGCAGGCTCCCTGAGCCCAGCTTGCAGGCTGTTCAGGCCTCTTTGGGGGCTTTAGCTGATGCCCTCTCACAATTCTGCTCTCACATTCCTTTCTGCTTTTTGATTACCACTTTCACTTCCCTTCCTGCTCGGGCCTGGCTGTATCTTTGAATAATTGAATGAGGGCAATAATACTGGAGGCTTTATCTCACCCCTGAGTCTCTTTGAGGAAGATTTCAGAGAGAGATCAGCAGGGTGCTTAGGATTAATTCTCTCTCTGGTTCAGACTCCCCGAGGGCCTTTGGGAGCTCCACAGATTCTGTGAAGCCCTTTGAGTCCAGCTTTCTCATCCCTCCAGGATGCTTGAGGCTCCAGCAGTGGATTCTGGAATCCAAGCCCACAGTCTTAAAGCATCCTCTAGATGACGCCCAGGGCTACAGTCCTCGCCTTATTATTGAGCTCCTGGCAGACCACTCTGAGTAGCTCATCCTCTTCCTTGTCCGGGCTCGAAGGTTCTGTCTGAAGTTTGCTGCCGAAGTGCCCTGAGTGAATGGGATCTTCATGTTCTGCCTTCTGGTATTTGATGCATTCTTTTTGTTTTCACTTGTCCTTGTTTGGATAGTCGTGGGAATTTTTTAAAATGTGGGAATCAGACTCTCTTCTTTGGTGGATGGATTCTCTTCACAATGAATGGAGTCTGGAAGACCTGAGTTAGAGCACTTCAGACACCTACTGCCTGTGGAACCCTGGGCAACCATTTTGGGGCTCAGTTTCTTCATCTGTAAAATGAGTTCATTGCAATATAAAGACAACTCTCAAGGTCTCTCTTAAGAACTTTGGAATCGACTGTGTGATGTGGGAGACAGGACCGCCCAGCATGGCATGCCCTCATCAGAGAAGGTGCTCTCTGAACAAAGCAGAGTTTAAGGAGCTCAAAAGAAAGGTGAGATGGGCAGATTTAGAGAACCCACCCCAAAGGTTCATGTGCAGTATTTGTGCCCGATCTGTGGTAGAGTGCTCCATACTGGTCTGATCAGCCACAGTTGGACTCACTGTAACTTAACTCTAGTATAGTGAGGTCATTTTGGTACTCGAGAAGGAAGGACAGCAGCCACATTGTATTCCATGGCTTCTAAAGTCCCTTTCAGCTCTGGACCTGGGATTGTGAATCCCTCATTCTGAGATTCTTCCTCCTGATCTTTCCTCAGAGGTCATTTTTTCCCCTACTTTGCTTCCAAAGAATGTTTAGTCATTTACTAAATTTGTTCATTTGACTTTCCATTTTTTTCTCAGGGGTTTTGCCCCATGATCTCCTCTAGAAATGCCCTGGACAGGTCAATTTTCTCTTTAATTGGACTTGTGATTTTAGGGTGTAAGTTTGGTTTTCAAGACTCTCTCTTGGGATTTCTTGGATCACTCACAATATAATCTTTTGAGACAGTATCTGTGTGTTTCCATCATATTGGGGTAGTGGATAGAGAACTCCACTTGGCAGTCTGCTGGCATCATGTAACTCGCCCTAACCTCTACAGGAGAGCTCATGTCACCTCTGGTGCCTGTTACCTCACAGGGTTGCTTCTTGGCTCAAATGAGATAATGACTGGAAAGCATTTTGCAACCCTTAAAGTGTTCTAGAAATGCCAACTATTTAACCACACTTAAGAATGCTCAGAACACCAGAGCTTGCCTCCAGCTGGCTCGGGACATTTTTCAGAAATCTGAATGTCTTTGGAAACATGCTAGAATTTTTAAAAAAAACTTGTTGGCTTTGGGTTGTTGTTGTTGTCATGTTTCTCCTCCTAAGTTTGAGAAGAACTTGTAACCACTAATTCCTCTGTCTCTTCAGGTGGGGGGGGTACCAGCACTCTCCTGAGAGAGCTAAGCCAATCATTGGAGGTTCTCAGTGGACCCATGGTCTAAAACAGGGGTGGGGAACCTGTGGCCATGAGCCCACATGTGGCGTTCTTGGTCCTTGGGTATGGCCTTTTGACTGAGTCCAAGTTTTACAGAACAATTTTGAACAAGGGAATTTATTCTGTGAAGTTTGGATTCAGTCAAAGGACTGCACTTGAGGACCTAGAGGGCCACATGTAGCTTTGAGGCTGCAGGTTCCCCACCTCTGGTGTAGAAAAATTCCTTACAAGATCCCTTCACCTACTGGCACCTGTCCTATAAGAGGCTCATCTTTACCACCAACAGCAGTGGCTTGGGACTGTTCCATTCTCACTATGAATAACCTGTGTGCCTCAGATGCCTTTGAGAATCCTGGGAAAATCTCAGCACACACCCCGAGACTATTGAGACAGCCTCTTTACTTGTGTGCACCCAAAAAAGTCCCACAAACCCCAATTTATCACAGAGTCAGTTCTAACAGACAAATGAAACCAGAATGCATGTGTCCACAGTTTAATTTCTCTCAAGGTGGCTTGACATGCACTACATGGGAGTTCAGTCCAAAACTGGGCCCCCCCTAAGGGGGCCAGTTCAGAACTGGCTTTATTTGGGGTTTTGGGGGGTACAGCCTTATATGCCCTTCAAAGAGTAGGTGTTCCCACGGGATACCAATCAGCTCTGGGAGATGGACCATATTAAAATGAAGGTCTTTCAGTATGTGACCCAGGTCACTCAATCCTGGTCAGAGACCTCAATTTCCCTATCACCTGTCTTGACAATAGGGAGCAATCAATATTCTACCAGTCCTGTCTAGGCAACATAATGAGCAGGAATAGACCCATCTAGATTACATCTTAATGTCCTTCTGGAGAAGATATGAATTTAGAAGGAAAGGAGGATGGGGAAGCTCTGAATTTCCAAGATAATGGTTACTAAGAAAAACCATTTTTCACTCTTGCGAGTGTCCAAAAAACAATAGTTAAAGTCTGATTGAAAGAAAGGGAAAATACAGCCGAAATCTTTGAATGAGGAACCATTAGCAGCCCTACTGTCTAACAAATTATTGTGAGGAATTGATCAGGGCTTCTGATCACCAACGCCAGCTTCTCTTTCTGGAATAAAGACAAACTTCTTGGCCTGACATTGGAATCCCTCGGTAATCTGGCTCCACTCACCTCCTTAGACTTATTTCCTGTTACTTCCTTCTACCCACTTTCCATTATAACCAAGTGGCCCTGCTAGCTGATTCTTCATTCTACCTCCCATCTCCCTCCTCCAAGACTCTGCACAAGGGTTCCCTCCACATAATCCCACCACTTCATAAAACCCCTAATTACTTTGGCTCCCAGCTGAGACCGATAAGGATCCGCACTCTGGGCTAGACTCGCCCCCTCTTATGTTACTTTGTATTGAATCTGTATGTTACTTTGTATCAATTCTTCATGTTACTTTGTATTGATTCACTCAACATTCCCAAGTAGGACAACCCTGCTTCGCGCACTGTCTCCTCCCCACACATACTGGGCTCTTTTGGCTGAACTGCATTGAATCTAAAGGTCTCCTCCTTCCCTCCATGTCGCTCACTGGCTCCTCAGCTCCCTTGGGTCCTTCTGCTGCAGCCCCCCAAGGAGCCAGCCTGCCCGCCCCTGCCCTTCTGGCAGCTTCTGGCTTTAGGGGTGAGCATCACTCTCTGAAGCTCATCCTTCAGCGCCAGCAGTGTCTCCATGTATTGTTCTCTGACGCCCCCAGCTGGTGAACCCTGGAACTGCTCCTGGGGAAGGTAAGACTGACCCTTCCTCACCCACAACAGAGAGCTTTGCAGGATGAAGGAGCACGAATAGGTGATGGAGACAGTCTCTTCATCCATGCAATCAGGGATCCATTGAGATAGTTTAATTTTAATTTAGATGTTTATTAAGTATCTCCTCTGGCTAGGCATTGGGAATACAAAAGTAAAAGCCAAGGAGTTCCTGCCCTCGGGATGCTTACATTTTATTGGGATGAGGGTAGGGAGAAAGAAGGAAACAGCATCTAGTCATCTCGAAAGGGGGAGCTAATCAGCAGGAGTGGGGCTCAGGAAAGGCCTCGAGGAGGGGGTGGAGGGAGAGCCTGTGGAGGAGGGAAATGGGGAAAAGCTGGAGACCAGTGGGACTGGTGTGGACAAGGCATGAAGGGGGGTCAGTCAAGGGAGGTGGAAGAGGACTGCAGATCATTACCATGGTGATTACTGTGACTCCCGTGTAAGCCTTCTCCCCCACCCTCAGCATGACTCTGGGCTGGCTGCTGCCCTGCCCTCAGGGAGCTCCCTGTCTGCCCAAAGGTTCCAGTTCCACATAGCAGGACAACCTTCAGGCTGGAGCTCTCCTCCTGGTTCCTGAGAGGCCGTGTGTGACTAGGAGCTGGCTTAGGAGCCATGCCCTGGGGCTGGCCCCGGAAGTTCAGAGGAGGGAGGGATCTGCCCTGCCTAGAATCATTCAGGCAGGCTTCCTGGTGGAGGCACAAGCTGGCCAGGACCAGGAAAGCTGGAGAGGAGAAGGAAAGAGAATTGACTCTGGGTTCCCATAGCTCTCTTGAACTGTTCTAGAAGGGTGTTGTCCTTCCCACCCCCAGAAGGTGCCTTCCAACTCTACCGTCCTCCTCTGGGCTCTTCTACTTTATCTGAGCACAGGACTAGGCATGGGGGGGGGAGGAGAGAAGGGAAGTGGGAAAGGAGGGGGTATGAGGAAGGATGTGTTGAAGTGGGTGATGGAGCCCTTCCTGAGGCTGGTCTGGTGAAGCTGGGTCTGGTTGGCTGGGGGCTCCCATCTTATCAGGCAGATCTAGCACCTGGACGTTGGCACCCTCAGACCTGAGCTACAGGCCGGCCTCCACCTGGCCCGCCTCGGCCTTTGCGTCAGCCCCAGGCTGAGGTCATGACTGTGCCATCTCCTGCTCAGCTCAGCTCGGACCTCGAGGAAACCAGAAGGGGACAGCATCAGACTCTCAGCCATCGGTGAGGACTGCCCCCTCGGGGGAGTGGACTCTGAAGATGCTCTAGGTAAGAAAGCTGGGGCCTAGTTCTGACAGCCCCAGTCAGCCCCACGCTCCCTGGGCTGTGGGCAGACTCTCATCCCTCCTGCAGTTCCCTCCCCTCTGCGTCTTTCTCAGGGTCTCCCTCAGCAACTCCAGACCACGCTCAGGTTCTCTCTTCAGTGGTCTCTCACTGTGCTTCCCTCCCAAGGTCCTCCCCCAGACCCTCTTCTGTCAGAGCCAGCTGGCCTGGGCCAGAGGGAGCTGAGGGCAGGGGCTGGCAGGTGCCTATTAGACAGTGGCCTCTCTGGCCACCAGAGGGCGGCCTCCTCTCAGGAAATGGGCTCTCCTTTGGTCTACCTGGCGTCACCCCTTTTATTTTTCTCTCCCTTTTTGCTTTTCTTCTTTCTCATTCCATCTCTCCCTTTTCCCATCCATCCCTTTTCTGATGCCATATCTTCTTGACCTCTCCCTCTCCTTGACCCATCAGAATGTTTATTTAAAGGGCCTGTGTCCGATTCTCAGCTGTGCCTTGTAAAAGGCCCTTCATCAGCCTGGACCTCTGGTGCCTTTTCTATAAAATGAGGACGTGAGACTCTAAGACCTCTGAGACTCCTTCCAGCTGCCTTGGAGGCAGTGGCCTGGAGTCAGGAAGACCTGAGTTCAAATCCACCCTCAGCTGCTTTCTGGCTATGTGTCCCTGGACAAGTCACTACTTGACCTCTGTCTACCTCAGTTTCTTCAGCTGTAAAATAGGGATGATCATAGCGCCTGCCTCCCACAGTGGTTGTGGGGATCAAATGAGATAATGATTGGGAAGTGTTAGTACAGCGCCTGGCACGCAATAGGCACTTAATAAATGCTTGCTCTTTCTTGCTCAAAGGCTAGGAGCCAATGGGCAGGATGGGCTCCTGGGCAGGATGGGGCCCCTGGGCAGGATGGGACTCCTCGGCAGGATGGGGCTCCTGGCCTCTTTCTCCCAAATGCATGGATGGACAGAGGCCACCCACCTGCTGACACTCATCCCTCTTGCCCACCCGGGCCCTAAACAAAGCATCTTCAGGGAGACCCAAGGGGCCAAACGGGCATTCTGCTCCAACCATGGACTTCACCAAGGAGCACGGCCACGTACCTTCTAATCGGAAAGAACCTTGCTGGCCACCTCTCTGGGCTCCCTGGGGAGCTAGAGGGAGGTGATGGCCCTGGGGAGCAAGGTGGGCTGGTCTGAGGCTGGGGGGGACAAGCGGGGGTGGGAAGCAGGGGTGCCCAGGGATTGCCAGGGTGGCACAGCCTCACCTCTTGGTTAAGAAAGCAGTAAAGGAGAGCCACGATGAAGCCCTGCAAGAATGAGAAAGGTATCTGGCAGTAACTCTTTAGCCTTGACATTCAAGACCATTCATATCTGGCCCCAGACTCCCCCCCTCCCCACCATGGTAGCTCTTTAGCTTTGGCATTCAAGGCCCTTCACATCTGGCCCCACACCACCCTCTCATGCTAGCTCTTTAGCCTTGACAATCAGGGCCCTTCATGTCTGGCCCCAGACCCTTTTCCTACTTTCCTGCTCTGGCCCCAATTGTGCCCCATCTCCTGCCTCACTGCTCTCTCCTCTGCCTCACCAAATCCTCAAGGCCTAGTCTGTCACTCCAGGGGGAAACGATTTGCCCTCCCTCTGCCTTCCCCACTCTCCTTGGCCATGTCTCCTGAACTTTGTGTGGGCTAACAGTCCTCAGAGCCAGCGGAGGCCGTAGAGGTCTCTTGCCCAGCCCACTCTTGATCAGAGACCCCTGCAACACTGTCTGCGACAAGTGCTCATTCAGCCTCTTTTTGGACACCTCCAGGGATGGGGAGCTCACCACATCCCCAGGCGGGCTTCTGCTGGCCCCTGAGGAGCTCACTGCCTTGTTGGGCAGATGTGACCTCCACATCAGAGAGCCCTCTGATTCACTTTCCTAACAATATCACAGCATCATCGGTTGCTCCCGAGCCATAATTAAGGCAGGGTGGATGGGACTTTGCCCCAGGTACTGAAATGTAGGGTGCTGTCAGCACTGGAACTTTTACAATGTCAGAATAAGTAAACTTAGTGCCTGAGCAGAACAATCAGGCCAAGTAGGAAGCTACCAGAGAGGGTGCTCCCCACCCCCTGACCCATTCCTCCCTCCACAGACTGGCATCCTTATTTGGTTCCCATGGTGACCAGATGCACACTCTATCAATGATTGGTAGTGACAAGGTCACAGTGTATGTCAGGTCAGCCTTACAGCACTATGGCTCAGTCAATAGACTGTGCCCAGGTGCCCTGGGTGGTGGTCTCCTCGCTGACCTTGGCCTTGCCAGCCTCTGTGCTAAGCAGCATGGACGCTGCTCCATCTCTGCCAGCCTGAGCCTGTGGACCACTGGAGGCCTAGTGCCCTCGGGCAGTGAGAGCATCCTGCCCCCCCCGGTCAGGTGATGGAAGACATTGGGCCCCTCACCTGGAAAGAGCCAAAGCCCAGCTCAAGGCAGAGGCGGGGGCCCATGCCGGTGCTGTCTGGGAGGAAATTGAAGACGATGTAGTGAGTTCCAAACAGCGGGATGAGGAGCAAAGTTGACTTGGAGAGCCGCCTGGAAGAGAGAAAAGGGAATGGGGAGAGTCTCCTCAGAGGGGTGTTGTCCAGAGAGGTAAGCGTGGGCTCAGCTGGCACTTCCTCACAGATCTCAGATGCCCAGCGCAGCATAGAGAGCCAGCCTCTGGGCCAGGAAGACTCAGGTTCAGGTCCTGCCTTGGACACATCCTGGCTCTGTGATGCTGGAGGAGGGCTGTGGTCATGGGGCTGGGGGAGCCAGGTCAGGCTTTCAGGGGGGTCTGGGTTGGCTGAACTAGGGGAGGCATTCAGACTAAGGAATCCTGTCATGAAGCTCAAGCTAGAAGCCACATGGGGTGAGGTGGGGGGGCATATGCTGGGGTCAGGGAGGATACCAAGCCAGATGTGGGGGAGGGCAGACCAAGACCCCCCTGCCAGCTGCCCCTACCCCACCTCCATCATCTCTCCTCCAGCACTTTGGCATACATCAGACATCCAGCAAGGCTTCACAGACCCAGAGTCAAATCACAGAGGGTCAGAGCTAGAAGGGACCCAAGAGGTCATCGGGAGTAAAGGGGGAAACTAAGGCACAAGGTGGGAAAGGGACTGGCAGGTCGCTTAGAAAGCTGGTGGCAAGAGTAGTGCCCAGTGCTCCTGAAGCCCAGTCCCACAACATGCAAAGGTGCCCCTCAGGACTGAGCTGGAAGGAGGCCATTTGGTCCCCTGCCACCCAGCAAGGGCACTTGTGGGACCACGGCCTCCAAGGGTGAAGTACTCTCAGGAGCTGCCCTTCCACACACTCTCCCCTCTGGGACAAGGGAAGGGGGGTCTGCTCCTTTTGGGGACAGCTCTCACTGGTGGAGCCGACATCCAGCCCAAACTGTCCTTCCAGCCTCACCCCCATGGCCCCCAGGGCTGATCCCCCTTCAAATATCTGAATATAGCCTCCAGCTCTCCCTGTCTTCACTTTCCCAGGCCTTCATGCTCAGACCCATCCATGAATCCTCACGTGGCCCCTTCTCCTCCTGGCTTCACTCCTCTGACATTCTCCCACTGATCAAGGTCCTTCCTAAACCGTAGGCCCCAGAACGGCCCTCAAAGCCACCAGATACCTCTGCCAAGGGCACTGCCATGTTCCTGGAGCAATTCACAGCCCAAAACACGTTAGCTTCTCTGGCCACTACGTCCCAAACCTAGCTCAGATTGGGCTTGCAGGCTACTCAGACCCCCCAATCTTTTTCAGACTAATCTTGGTCCAGTTATGCCGAATCTCCATCTTGTTCTTGCAAAGTTGATTGTTTGCAAGCTGCCTTCCCCACAAGTGCCAGAGTTGACATTAATCCCTATCAAATTCCATCTTATTAAATTCCAATCTCTCGAGGTCTTTGGGACCCTCCCTCTAGCATCTAGTACATTAGCTAGTCTCACCTCCCCTTCCCCCCTCCTCAGCTTTGGGCCATCCACAAACTGGATTCACCCAAATCTAGGAAGTTCACAAGGCTTTTAGAGGGGACAGTGACAAGAAGCGGGGCCTTGGAGTCACGAAGGCCGGCATTCAAATCTGCCCTCAGACCTGTTCTAGGCTGAATGACCCTGAGCAAGTCACTTTGCCATTGCCTGCCTCAGTTTCTTCATTTACCTCCCACGCTTGTTGGGAGGATGAAATGAGATTATTTTTGTAAAGTGCTTCACAAGCCTTAAAGTGGGGTGTAAACCCCAGCTATTATTCTTGGCTTCTCCCAGAATTTTCCTGGCATCTGTCCCCAGTAAGGGCTTTGGGAGCTGCCTAGCCCAGCTCTCCTGTGCCTGGACAAGGGCCCCTTCTCAAATATCCACGGCCAGAGTTCATGAAGACCCCCAGGGCAGAGGAGCTCACTACCTGCTTGGGCCACCCACCAAACCTGGGGAATTTGTGTGAGCTTAGGCAAATTCCTTGCTCTCTAATCAGTAGGAACACTCTCCTTACACTGAGTGGGATGGGGCCCTCTGTAACTTCTGCTTCTGACCTCTGGGGCCAAGGAAAACAAGACTCATCTCTCTTCCACATGACAGCCCTTCAAATATTTGCAGCCTTGTGTCATGCCACCTCCCCCGTGATGGGCAATCATCTCTTCTCCAGGCCGCGTTTCCCTGAGCAAGCTGGCCCTTCTGGTCAGTCGAGGCCCAGCGCGAGGCATAGCAGAGAAGGCTGGGCTCCGTCCACATGGAACAAGAGCAGCCGTGAAGCCTGACATCCAATGGGTTTGAAAAGCACTTCCTGGAGTGTTCACGACCACCTGGTGAAGCCGGTGTTGCGATCCCATTTTGTAGATGTCAACACTGAGGTTCCAAGAGGATGAGTGACTTGCCCAGCGGCCAGCCCTGGAGACAGTTCTCCCCACTCAAGGCCGGTCCCTTTCCAGCCTTGTCCACCAGCTCCAGGGACTTGTCAGCACCTCCTCAAAGCCTGGCGCCCAGACTTGCTCTGATTGTAGCTTATGCGCAGCCACGTCCACGCTGGTGTGCAGGGGCCCAGGCGGTGGCCGCTGTCCCAGAGCACTTTGCATAGGAGATGCTGTCAAGCTGTGCCCACCCATTCTGTAGGTCAGCAGCTGATTTGATGAACCCAGGTCCAGGGCTTTCCTATCCCATCTCATCTTACCCAGGGTCCTGTGCTGGGGAGGGGGAGGCTGGGAGGCTGCCGGCTTTTCCAGCCTCCAAGAAAAGCTCCTGTTACTGCTGCAAATGACCAGGTCTCTGACCATCCATGTGAGCATGAGTTCTCATGATGCAGGAGCCCCAGACCTCATCGCTCCTGCCTTCCCCTCTTGTGGGATGAACTCAAACCCTTCTGCCTACCTCCCAGCCTCCAGCCTCCCTGAGAGTGTCCCCGGCCGGGACATCTCCTCTGCTCCATGCCTGGGAATAACCTTCCCTGTGGCCTTGACCTTTTCCTAGGCCCCAGGATAATTCCAAGCTCCTACTTTGTAAAGACTAGCTCTTCTGGGTTAGCAGAACAGCTGAAACTACACCCAGAAGGCAGCAAGGTGGTGCAGTGGGCAGAGCATCAGATCCGGAGTTGGGAAAACCTGGGTTCAAATCCAGCCGCAGACACAGTGAGTAAACTGTGTGACCCTGGGCCACTCCCCCTCTACCAGCCTCAGTTCCCCCAACTGTGAAATGGGGATACTAACAGCACCTACCCAGGGTTGTTGTTTGGATCCAATGATATCCTATGTGTAAAGCACTCTGCGCAGTGCCTGGCACACAGCAGGTGCCGTATACATGTCCGCTATTATTACTTTAGCCCCGGTTCGGCAGAGCTGCCACTTGAGCCTCCCATCTCCTTCAGCCTGTCTCTCCTGAGCTCTCCCCATCTGAGCCCCTCCTGGGATTCCTTGCCCCCTCCCCTTCAGCTCTACAGGCTGCCCCTGGGAGCTCAACCCTCCATCCCCCCTCAGTCCCTCTTGGACCCCTATGCCCCAAACCCTTCCCTCCCCCAGCCCGCCCTGCCCCATGCGCTCCCTGGTGCCCCACCGATACTGGGCACGGCTCTGGAAGTTGTTCTGTCCTGGCTCCAACTTCTTGAGCAAGATACGGATGATGTTGAGGAAGAGTCCGAAGGTGATCTGATGCCGAAAACAAGAAGGGAGGGGTGAGAGGGGTGCCCTGGGCCCCAGAGAGGAGGGGGGACCCCCCACACCTGAGGAGCCTCTGCCTAGATGGAGGGGCCTGAATGGGCCTGGGGCAGGACAGGGGACTGCCCCAGGAAGACCACAGCCCCCCATGGGACAGGAGCTCCAACACATTCATTTTTACAGATGAAGAGCCGAGGCTCAGAGAGGGGGATTGGTCAGGGGCTGCCACCAGGGAGGTCCAGAGAGGATAGCCTCACCCCAACTGAAAGGACAATGGGCCCTTTGATGATCCACCAATAGGGGGAGTTTTCATTCATGTCCCAGCACCTGCACAATAGAAAAATGGGGGATACCCAGAGGGGCCTGCCCGGCACCCCCAGACCCACCCCATGCACTCTCTGCCCGCCTTCAAGCACAAAAGCCTGACCCTGCTCATTCGGGGGGGGAGGGTCTTCTCTCAAAATCTTGCTCCTTGGGACCCCCCAGGAGGGCTCCCTTCTCTCAGCTTTGCCTCTGGAGGTGTGGCCTTGGGCAAGTCATGCACCCTCTCAACCTCGGTTTCCATCTAGACAAGGGACTAGACAATTCCTAAACTGTGCTGTTTCCCTCTAGTGGAACGGAAGCTTCTGGAGGGCATTGGCTGTTTCATTTCTGTCGTCGTTTACCATCCCAGCTTACAAAAGGCCTGGTACATAGAAGGCTTGATCAAGACTTGTTCAGTCAAAAACCACTGGAGTGGGGAGCCTGTGATGGAGAGGGGCTTCTGGCTTCTGGAACGGGTGGACTAGATGCCTGCGAGGGGCCTTGAAAGAGACCTGAGACTGTGCGTATATGAGTGTGTGTGTTGTGAGAGTGTGAGTGTATGTGTCTGTGAATGAGTGAGTGTGAGGAGCATGTATGTGTGAGTGTGAGTGCATATGTGCATGGGTGTGAGTGAGAGTGTATGTGCATATTTATGTGTGAGTATATTGTGTGAGTGTGTGTATTGTGAATGTGAGTGTATGTGTGAGAATGTATGTGAGAGTATGTGTATGTGTGTGTGTGTGAATATGAGTGTGTCTGTACCTGTGTGTGTGTGTAAGTGTGAATGTGTGTGGGTATATGTATGTGTGAGTGTGAGTGCATGTGTATGGGTGTGGGTGTGTGTGCGTGTGTGCGTGTGTGCGCGTGCGCGCATGGAAGCCCCGCTGAGGCTATGTTGATGAACAGGTGAGATTCTGTCCCTTGCCAAGGCAGTACTGAGGGTGTGTATTGTGGGGGCGGGTGGGGGTGGGGCTGACCATGCTGGGCTCGGGAGAGGACTCACACTCTGTCTTCAAAAGCCAATTTGAAGACGATCCAGACCAGGATGAAAAACATGGGAAGCCCTGGGGACGAGACAAGCTGTGTTAAGCCACCGCACCCCGGCTGCCAGCCAGGCAGGGGCCTGAGCCCCAGGCTGGGCCAGCCTCGCCCCCTCATCCTGGCCACAGATGGCTTCTGATCCTCAGCCACAGACTGACCTCTGACTCCGGCCACGGACAGACCCCCTAAGTCTGGCCAGAGACAGACTGACCCCTGACCCCAGCTGTAGACTGTTCCCTAACACCAGCCACAGACCACTGCTTTCATCACAAGACTTACCCCAGCCACCAAGAACAAGCCACCAGAAGTATCTGGTTCCACTGGGGAAGGCCGTGGCCAGGAGACACGTCAGGTAGATGGCCTCAACCAGGAGCCAGGTGAAGTTGCTCATGGAGGCATAGTAGGAGAAGGCCACAGAGAGCTTGCAGCCAGTCTTAGGGCAGGAAGGACAGACAGGAAGGAAGGTCTTAGCTGGAGGTGAGGACCGTGCTCTTCTCCCTGGCTCTGTCTTTGCCCTCCCCACTGGCCTTGCGCCTCTAAAAGGTCAGCTCCTGGAGGTAGGGCCTGGCTCCTGAGTGTCTTTGTGCCCACAGCCCCAGGAACGCAATCTTGGCCCAGAGTGAGTGGGCTGGAGGGGATAGAACGGCTCCCAGGCCAGGCCAGGCCAGGCCAGGCAGGAAAGAGGCTCAGAGGCCATGGCCAGCTGAGTGGGCAGGGGGCTTCGGCCTCCAAGAAGACCAGAGGAAGCCAGGACTTGGTGAGAAGCTCAACAGAATCTGACAGTACTGGCAGGGACCAGCACGAAAGGGTTCTCTGGAGGCGAAGGGGCAGAGGCCCAACCAGAGGAGAACAAGGCTCTGCAGCCCAGGCCCACGGGGCTCTCACGGCTCAGGCTGGGACTTGTCAGCATAGGACTGCTCGACTCCAGACTTTGGCAGGCAGGGCCCTGCCCTCGAGTGTATTTTTGCCTGTTTGGTGAAAAGCCTCCCTGACGAGGGCGGAGAGAGGAATGTCTGAGGAGCCCAAGGCCAGGCTGGGCTGCAAGGCAGTGGCAGTGGCAGAGGCAGAGGCAGGAGAGTGGGCTGCCATCCATCCTGCCACGGGGAGCTTGGCCTGCCAGCCCTCTTCCTGGCAGCGGGCTCCCCCAGGCATCCCTGGGCGCTGCCAGCCCCTTCCTGCATCTGTCTCTCTGTGGCCCGGCCCGAGCAATCCTACTCAGCTCAACCTTCGATGTTGCCCAAAGCAGAGTAACCTTCACTTCTGCTGCTGCTGCGTCTGCTCTTCAAGCCTCCTCCATCAGAAGACCAACCCCTAGCTTGCCTGATCCCACTCTCCCTCACCTTCCTGCACTGAGGGCTGCTGCTGCCACTTCCTGCCATTCAGAGGGCACGCTTGTGCCCGTGCACACCTAACACCGACTCCCTCTGCTAAAGTACTTCTTTAGACCTAAGTTTTACAATATGTAAAATGGAGGTAATCGTAGCTGCCCTGTCTGCATCCCCAAACTGTCCTAAGAATCCAAGGAGAACTGTGCAAAGTCTGTGTTGTTGGGATAGTTTCTGCTCAGTACTGAGATGTGGAGCGCCTTTCCTTCTCCCCTTCTCCCTCACCATGCTGCACCTGCCTGTCTCTCTGACTCCACTCCTTCCTCAGTCTGGACCACATTCATTAAGGACCTTTGCTTCCTAACAATTTTAGTCTTTCCCCATCCAGGCCCTAAAGGCACAAGGGCATGATTTCTCCTTCTCCTTCTCTTGTCTTTCTTGTGGTTATGGGCATGGGCACCTGGGCGCTCCAGCTTCAAGGTTCAGCAAACCCTCTGTATTTAATATATCACTGAAGCCTTATGAGGTGGGCATGAGAGGTTTGACTGGCCCCATTTCAAAGATGACGAAACTGAGACTCAGGAACCTTGGCTCAGATGTGCTGCCTCTTTGGACTCCAGGCCCATTGCCACACTCCTTCTGCTATATACCCATTATGGTGGCCTTCCTCCTCGACATAACATGATGTGTGGAGGATAGAGGCAGGGAGGCTGCCCCGAGGCCCAGGCACTCACCGTGGAGAAGGTGCAGTGGTCAACCTCGTCCTCCCCTTGGAGGATGATGGCATCTTTGAGGAAAACGGCCACAGCTTTGAGGATGAACGTGCAGAAGAGCTGGACGTGGATGTAATTTCTGGGGCAGCGAAGCCTCCTGGGCACCAGGGGTGCAGTATCAGAATCCACCATGACATGGAGGCAGGAATGAGGAGAACACATGTCAGGACAATGGGAAGACTGGTCAAGGTTGAGTGGACAGTGGGTGTAAGGGGAAGGGAGAGCAGATTGGAAACCTGAGTGAAGACCAGATTACAGCTAGAATGGAAGCCTGTGGAGGGCAGGCACTGTACCAAGCACCTTGTGAATAGAAGGCATTGAGTAAACAAATGTTTGCAGGATTGCACTGGATTGACCCTAAAGATCCATCTGTGGCCATTCCACTTGATCCTGAAGGTGATAGGGAGTCACTGAAGATGACTGACCAGTGATGGGATGTACTCATGCTTGTGCTTTAGGAAGTTTGCTCTGGAAGTTGGAAGCTGGATTGAAGGGAAAGAGGCTAGATTCCAGGGGACCAGTTGGGAGGCTATTGCAACCCTCTTGAAGGGAGGGGAAGAGTGGAGGCCTTGGGAATGGAGAGGAGAAGATGGATCTCAAAGACAGATTGGGTTAAGGTTGGGATGGATCCTACAGGCCCAGATGAATTGGCTGCTCAGAGATTCCCTTCAGCATGATGGCTTGGGAGTGGGAGGAATGCTGCATTCTATGCCCAGCTACATCCACATAAGTGGCAGTTACTTATTTTTCCTGAAACAAAACCCAAGGAAAGAAACAAAAAATAACCTTGCAGGAGGGAGTGGGGTCCTGAATGACCTAAGGCTAATGTCTACACTGACCAAAATCACTTATTAATTTCTCATTTCTACCATTCCCAAGACACCTGAAGAAACAGCATCAGATTGGGCCAAGGATGATGATGGGATGATGATGACACTGATGATGGTAATGGTGATTCTGATGATGTTGCTGGAGATTGGTGATAATGGTGGTGGTCACTGGAGATCACTGGTGACCATTGGTGATCACTGGCAACCATTGGTAAACACTGAGATGATCACTGATGACTGTTGGGGATCACTGGTGACCATTGGTGATCACTGAGATGATCACTGATGACTTTTGGGGATCACTGGTAACCATTGGGGACTGCTGAGGATCACTGGTGATTATTGGTAACCACTGAGATGATCACTGGTGACCTCTAGGATCACTGGTGACCATTGGTGACCACTGATGATCACTGATGACTGTTGTGGATCACTGGTGACCATTGATGACCACTAATGATAACTAGTGACCATTAGTGACCACTGATGATCACTGGGGATCACCAGGGATCCTTACTGACCACTGGGGATGACTAGGGATGGTAGAGATAGTGAGATACCTGAGGGTCATCAGGATCACGATGGCCACGAGGAGGGAAGCAAGAGAGACACTGTAACCCACTGTATAAACGATCTTGACTGTGGAGAAGTAGGATTTCTGGAGAGGAAAGACGAGCATCAGCTGGCTGGCAGGGGTCTTTTAAGCTAAGCAGGACACCCGGAGGTCCAATGTTTAGCAGGCTCAGTACATGAACATTAAAACTTCCATGTTAGGAAGATGAAGCTGTGATTGTTCACACAAATTTTCCACACAATGCTTTTCCACTTTTCAAAATAACTTCCTGCCAGCTGCCTTTAATCCCCAGCTCCAGGCACACCAGGGAGGGCTGTCTTACATTGGCTGTTTGGAAGAGGGTGGAAGGGGAATGGGGGTGGGGCAAGGATAGGAGGAGAGATGGAAAACCAAACCTCAAAGCCCAGATGAAGGAAGCCCCTACACTTTGAGGGCCTTCAGAACTGAAGAGAAAGTATGGGGACAGCAGGTTGGAGGGCCACACGTTCCACAAAAAGAATACTCCTCCTGCCCCTCATGGCTGGGCAGCTTCTTACTCTTCCTCAAGCTACCAGGACCCTGACCTCCACCCTCCCAGGCACCTTGGAGCACAGGGGCCAATAACACTATCCTATTTTACAGCTAGGCAAGCTGAGGCCTGAGTCAATAAGTGGGAGGCCCACAGTCCTTCCATAAATGAATGAGAGGCCAGCATACTGTTATAAGGAGGAGCTGAAGTCCCAGCCAAAATCTCAGGGTTCTCATTCCAACTCTGCCACTGACTGATCACGTGATCTTAAAGGAGTCCATTAACTCCTATGGGTCTCAATTTGTAAAATAGTGACTATAATATATAACCTCCCTGCTATGTGGGGGTGGGTGGGATTGGCTCAGGGGACAGGCCTTCTACAAATGTGAAGCATCATTAGGGACTAGAATCCAGGCCTCCTGCCTCCCAGTCTAGGGGACTTTGGCTACGCCACCCTGAATCCACCAAACCAACACCATTGACCCCCCACCCGCTGTCCCCATCACTATTTTCATTCCTTTCAATGGCAGTTCCAGGAACAGAAGTAGGGGGTATGACAAAGAGGACCCTGTGGGCCTCACCATGCTCCCCTCCCTAATTCCTAGGTCCTCAGACCCTCCTTTCTTCCTCCTCCCCTCACCATCCTGGGAGCAGCCCACCTCCTCAGCCAGAGACTCAAGCTCTACGGGACATGCTTCAAGATAAGGTGGGGAGGGGTCCGACCATCCCATGCCCGTGCAGTCTCTCCTCACTGTTCCTGGAAGGGGAAGAGATGACAGAGAAGGGGGATGGGAGCATCTGTTTCTAGGATTGCCCATGGACATTGCCGGGACCCCAGTACTTCCCTAATGACAGGGATACAAAACTGAAGGACATGGGCCCATAAGAAAAAGCACCAGGAAGGACCTTGAGGGAGGAAGGACCCTGTGCTTATGGCCTCACCTCAGTGGCAGTCTCCTGAGCTCCTGAGCCCTCTGCCCTCTGGGCCACTGGGCTGGCTGCAATTGCAACCTTATCCAATATAGGAAGAGCTGTGCAACTTGGGAAAGGAAAGCATTGGCCAGCTGCATCTCGCCTTACCCTGTGCCAAGTACTCATGGGAGGAGCTCTGTTCTCCATCCTCTCCCTCCAAGCAAGGTCAGAAGAGGCCAGAGGAGGAGTAGGATATGATGCCTGCCCCAGGGCTTTTGCTCCTCCTCCCTCCTCCCTCCCAAGGTTCATCATCTGCCCTCCTTCTCCCTGGCCATCATACAGAACCACCTCACCTGGCTTGGGGCTGAAGAGAGAGAAGAAGTCTGGGCAGGGCAGGATGACTGACGCCCCAGCTCCCATAGCTGGCCAGCAAAGCAGACCATCCCACTCCCTCTGGCAGCCTAGACAGGAGCAAAGCAAGTAGCCTTGTCATGGGTATGAGGTTGAGTCCAAGATCCAGGGGACGGGGACGGAATAAGGGGAACAGCCCAGACATACTGGGCAGTGGCCACTCCCTCTGTTGTCAGGACCTGCTCATGTTGGGGGGAGAAGAGTGAGCCTGCCAGTGGGAATGGGATAGGTGCTAACTGACCTCAGAAGCACTTTCTATTTTATTTGGTGAGGTCAGAAGAGCTTTGAAAAGCAGTTGACAGACAGAGCCAAGATGGCAAAGTAAAAGCAGTGACTTGCTTGAGCTCTTCCCCAAACCACTCCAAATACCTGTAAAAAATAACTCTAAACCAATTCTAGAGCAGCAGAACCCACAAAAAGACAGAGTGAAACAAAGTTCCAGCCCAAGACAGCCTGGATGATTGATGGGAAAGGTCTAGTGCGCCAGGCTGGGAGAGGAGCACAGTTCAGTGTGGGTGTGCAAAGAAAGACCAGGCCTCAACGAACCTGGAACAGGCCTCAGGGGACTGAATCACAGGCAGCCGTGGTGGTTTCCAGACTTCTCAACCCACAAACACAGAAGACAACTTATAAGGTCAGTGGGAAAGTTCTGTCTGACCAAGGTGAGAGAGGAGCTTGGTCCTGCCCCAGTTCTAGTGCAGCCCCAGGGCAGCAGCTGCTTCCAGAGCTCTCAGCCCACAGACAGGGGGGGGAATCAAGTGGCTGATCTTACTCTGCCCATGCTTGGATCTGAGTCACAGTTCTGGGTGGCGGTCCTAGGGCAAGGAGAAGCATTGGCATGGTGGAACTTGTGGCAGCAGTGGAAAGGGGATCCTCCTCACAGTTCCCAGGCTAGTCACTTATAGACCAGAGCCCAGGCCAGGAAAGGAGTAAACATTTCGACCTTGATCATACCACCTTGGAAGATCTGAAAATTTATATGTCCCTAGAAGTATCTCTATAAACAGCTGCACAAAACCCCTAAAGCTTGGGACAGTACATCCTCTACACTGGAAGCAGACCTCTACCTTAACAAAAAGTTTAAAACTCGAGTAATTGGCTGGGATCATGAGCAAACAGTGCAAAAAACAGTCAGACCATGGAAAAGCAGTTGAATAGCCAGAGTGGAAAGATGGTTTGCCTAACTCTGCACGCTTATACTGGAGGTTTTGTCTTTCCTCATCAATTGTAGGAGAGAAGGTTAGGATGGGAGGAAGAGAAGGAAAATTTTTGCTGATTAAAAATAGACATAGATCAGACAGACAGACAGACAGACAGACAGACAGACAGACAGATAGATAGATAGATAGATAGATAGATAGATAGATAGATAGATAGATAGAATTTTTAAAAAGAAAAGAAAATCAGTCAAGATGTGTTTCTCCCTGGGCAGGACAAAGTCCCTGATTTCCCAGAGCCCACTGTGGACTAGCAGCCTAGACCATCTCAGGTTTCTTGGTGGCCCAGACAAGAGAAGGAGTTCTGGATACCTGCAGTCCCATTGGACAGCTCCTCTTCTCTTGGCAGGCATGCCAACTCATCCTTTTCCAGCTCTTGGAGAAGATTGCATTCTGGGTGCACGAACTCCAAGACCTGTGGGTAAAGAAGCTCCTGAGTGTTGGAAGGGCCCAGAATACCCTGCCCCATCCTGGAGAATGGGCCCAGTTTCCCTTGCTCTAGGGCAAGAGGTTGCTGCCTGACTTTTGGGGGCTGGGCAGAGTAATTGCCTTCACTCTCATGGGGAGCAAAAAGTGGTCGGGCTGTTTGGCATCCTACCCGAGCTGAGCAGGCAATAGAATCAAAGGCGAGGGTCTCTGCCCTCAGAGAGTTCGTAGTCCAGAGGAGAAGACCCAACAGGACAGGCATCTCCACAAGACGATGGTTGGCCCATTAGCACATGGATACAGACCCGTTCTGAGAGGACACAGAACACAGTCACCAAAAATCCTCAAAATCGGGAGATGGACTGAGTTTGAGGAATAGAAAGGAGGCCGGGATCACTGAACCTCAGAGTATGTGGGTGGGGCAGCATGGAATAATGATATTTTTTAAGATGGTGAAGATATAGACTGTCCATAAGCAATAGGGAAGCAGCCAATAGACAGGGCAAAATTGAAGATAAGTTAGAGAGTGGGGACGACAGAGGGGAGATCTGCTGGGAAAGATTGACTGCAATGTTATCGCTTGTGCTGGAGGAGACAAGGAGAAGGGTGACCACTTCATGTGCACCAGGGGTGAAGGTGGAGATAATGTCAGAAGGCTTCTCAGCGATGGGAAATGAAGATGAAGGGAGAGGAGGGAGCTCTCAAGAATCATTTGGTTTTTTCAGTGAAATATAAAACAAGGTTCTCAGCTGAGAGTTGGGGTGAGGGGAAGAGGAAGCCACCGAAGGTTTGAGGGTGGATGAAAGGGTTTAGAAAAGTAGTTGTGGTGAATGGGATAGTGAATCAATTGGAAAGGTGCAGAAGGCCCCATGCAGTGAAGGCACCACGGCGGAGGGTACCTCTCCTCTCACTCTCTTCATCTCAAAATTTTTGACATCATCTCCCACTCTTTCCTCCTTTCCTCAAGTCTCTGAAACAGAGGTGATCCTTCTCTTTGCCAAGGTCAACCTCTCTGGATGTGTTCTCGATCAAATCCCTCCTGTATTTTCCAAAAGATTGCATTCTCAATCATCCCTTTCCCCTTTTTTAGAATATTCACTTTCTTCACTAGTTCTTTCCCTATTGCCTTCAGACATGCCCAAGTCTCCCCCATTCCAAAAAATAAAAATCTTCACTAGGACACTAACATCCCCTGAAGCTATCATCCTATATTTCTCCTCCTCTTCTAAACCAAAGTCATTGATAGAGCTGTCTATATCACCAGCCTCCACTTCCTCTTGTCTCACTCCTCAACCCTCCGCAATTTGGCTCCTGACCTCATCACTCAACTAAAATGCTTCTTTCCAAAGTTAATTATGATGTCTTAATTGCCAAGGCCAATGGCCCCATCTCAGTTCTCATCCTTCTTGACCTCTCTGCGGCCTTTGATGCTGGGGGATAACTTTCTCCTGGGTTTTTGTAGCTCTTCTCTCTCCTGGTTGATCTTCTGCCATCTGACCTCCCTCTCTTAGTCTCCTTGTTGGCTCTTTAGCCGTCTCATACCCCTTAATCGTGAGTGTTCCCTGAAGTTCTGCCCTGGGCCCTCTCTTCTCCTATATTCTCTCTCGGTAACTTCATTCGCTTCCATGGTAGTCCCAACTATCAATGCTGTTCAGATGATTCTCAGCTTTATGGAGCCAGCCCCAATCTTTCCCTTGAACTCCAGTCCCACACTCCTAGTGGCCTATTGGGCATTTCAAACTGATATTCCTGAGACACCTCAAATTCAACACGTCTAAAACTGAGCTTAGTACCCTTTCCCCTAAATTCTTCCCTCTTTCAGATGTCCATGACTCTCAGGTTGATGATATTCTGCACTCCTCACCCCGCATATCCAATCAGTTGCCAAATCCTGCCATTTCGACCTTTATAACACATCATTCATCCAATCCCTTCTCTTCACTCATACAGCAACTACTTTGGCTCAGGCCTCATTACTTTTCCAGTAGATCATTTCAACGGCCTCTTAATTGGCCTTCCTTCTTCAAATCTCTTCCCATTCCAGTCTATCCTAAAAACTACCTCCAGAGGAATTTTCCTTAAGCACAGATAGATTGTGTGATGCCCCTCCTCAAGCAACTGCAGGGCCTCCCAATAGCCTATGGGCTAATAGAAGCTTCTCTGCTCAGTCTTACACAACCTGGCCCCAACCTATCTTTTCAGTCTCATTGGATGTTACTCGCACTCCAGAATCCAGGCAAACATGTTCCCACCAACAATACTCCATCTTCTTCATGAATTTGCATTAGACATTAACTCCCACATGCCTGGAATGCCTCCACCTAATATAGCCTTTCTACTCCTTTACGCTGCACCTCAGACACCAGAGGGTGGATGATGATTCTGCCCTTCCTGATTCCCCTAACCACTGGTGCCTCCCCTCTTAAATTGTCTTATACTGAACTACTAATACATCTGCATATGTTAACTCAACTCTTTACATATTTTTAATGTGTGCACATTTCTCCCCCACTCCATTAGGATGTAAAATCTTTGGAAGAAGGGATTGGTTCATTTGTGGTATTTGCATCCTTAGCACTTAACATAGTGGCCTATGTCCAGCACATGGTGGGTGCTTAATAAATGTTTGTTGAGTGATTGATTGAAACTCTGGTCCACTGAGCCCAAGGCCAATGCTCTTTCCCTTCCCCAAGCTACCCCCAGGAGGTAGGAGGGTTTCCCAGTGTCAGCCTCCCTAGGCAGAACATCATGGAGGCTACCTTGATACTACCCAGGGGACTGGTGATTAAGCAAATGCTACAGAGGGGAAAGGGTGTTCCCCACCTGGGTAAAGAGGCAGGGGCCAACTAGGGAGCTGGGCTGACTTGTTACTGAGCTTTCTTCACAGCACTAACAGCCAAGGGCTGAGAGAGGCAAGAAGATAGCTGCGGGGGCAGAAAGTCAGGTATGAATGCTAGCAGTTTCTGGAGTTATAATTCAGAGGTGTCAAGGGGGCTGACCATTTGCCTTATTCAACCCATTTCCACAAAGCTTCAATCTTTTCTGACCACTGGTAGTGCTTTCCCTTCACCCACCCCCACATCACCTTTTGCCCTTTGCTGAATGTCCCTTACTGACCCTAAGCCAGGTCCAAGGTGCCCTTCCTTCTGCTCAGACAGCTGACAGGATGCATCTCTGCTTACTCAGACAGTGAAACTTTTTCAAGTCCTCCAGGTGTTCCTAATGCCCCAGATCCCGGCCTTGGCTTTTACATTTGAGGCTTACATGAGACAAATCATTCAGACTTTGGGGAGAGGAAGGTCTGGGAACAGGGTCAGCCCACCAACCTAATTCTTGACACCATGCTGGAGCTGTCCAAGTGCTGACACGGGTCAACCTGAGAGGACTCCCTGGAGAAGTCTGTCTCCCTTCAGCACTTATTTAAAATTCTCACCGGGCCACTAGGTGGCACCATGATGCACAGAGCAAGGGCCTAAAGTCAGGAAAATTCATCTTCCTGGGTTCAAATCTGGCCTCACACACTTACCAAGTGTGTGGGCCTAGGCAAGTCATTTCACCCTGCTTGCCTCAGTTTCCTTATCTGTAAAATAAGCTGGAGAAAGAAACGTCAAACCACTCCAGTATCTTTGCTAAGAAAACCCCAAATGGGGTCATAGAGTCTACTAAACACTACTGAACAACAATAATCTTCAGCCCTTCTCCCTCCCTCTCCTCTTCTCCTCTTTTTTCTCTTCTCTCCTCTCTTCTCTCCTCTTTTTTCTCTTCTCTTTTCTCCTCTTTTCTCTTCTCTAAAGCCTGAAGCCAGTGATTTTCTATGCCTGATGGCAGTGATTATTTATATTAGTCACAGGCTAGGCCCAGACACTCATGCTTTGGCAGAGAGGGTGGGAGGACCATTAACATACTCTTTCAGTTCGGTTCTCGGAGAAGGAACAAAACAAGGTGATTTCAGCCCACAGAGCAGGTGACCTTCTCTATCCCCAGCACAGCTGCCACCCAAGCTGCTAGTTTCCATCTCCAAAGCATGAATAATAACAGTCATCTTATCTGGGAACTGGGGTTATAGAGAGGGCAGCCTACCACTGAGCTTCATCCATATGGACATTATGGTGAAGACTGGGGGACACAGCTGCTGGGGAGCAGAGCAGAGTCGGGGAGCTAGGATGGCACCACGGAGCCCACATGGCATCCTGGGTCACTAAAGGAAGCAGGTTATGGCTGGCCATGAAGCTTCTTGTAATCCCAACAAGTGTTCCCTGCCCCAGCTAGGCTGCTCTCCCTGAACACTTCTGCCTTTATCCATGCTTTGTTACTATGACACACACCTGAAATGCCATCCCTACTCCTCCCTCATTATCTGATCCCTAGCCACACTTTAGGGCCCTGCTCCAGGTCTGCTTCCCCAGGAAGACCTCCCTGATTACTCCAGCTCCACCCCCACCACCCACCTTCCACTGCAAGGTCATAGGTTGTGAGCTGGAAAGTATCTTTGGGGATATGAAGTCCAGCCCCTTCATTGCACAGGTGAGGTAACTGAGGCCAGACTTGCCCAAGGGCTCACACTGATTGCCACCTTCATTTGCCACTCATTGGACCCCATGTGATAGCCTGACGGCACCATGGGAATGGGTCTCTGAATGTTTCCCATATGTGGACCTTGTCTTTCCAGACAAACTAGGAACTCTCCTCTCCCAATCAGGTGCTACTTCTTGCCCTTGTCCCCCTCCTCTGTGGTGACTGGCACAAGGCAAGGCCCTAGGGAACGAGCCTTTCCCCCCATGACATGCTAGCTGTGGCCCAGACAATCACAGGGACCTCAGTCCCATCCCCAGGCTGAAGAGATTCAACAAAGACCACCCTCTCAGTCCCAGGCCAACACAAGGACCAGCTTCCTGTGGCTCTGTCCCTGGAGCCACACGTGGACAACACAAACCCCTTTGGAAGGATGTGTTAGGGGATGAATCTACTGGGGGGATCTTAGGAATCAAAGGAGCAGAAGGCTGGAGCTAATGAGCCTCCTGTTTGTGCCTGCCCCTCCCCCCTTCTCCTGAGCTCAGGCTTCTTTCTGGGGCTGCAGCCTCAGACACAGCCCCTCTCCTCCTCTTTCCCCCATTCCCCCAGCATCATCCCCTGGTGCCCTGACTGGGCCGAGCATCCAAAAACAAGAGTAGCTCTTTTTCTCCTGACTTGAGGATTTCTTGGCACCAACTCTCTTGGGGATTTTCTGAAAACATGGAGTCGCAGAGTCCAGCAAGGTCCTACTGGCTCAGGAGAGAAGCCTTGGGGCCCACCCAGCTTGTTGTCTGGTCCCCACCATCCCTCTTTGACTGTCCCTGCTCCTCCTCCAGTGGAGGCTCCATGTGCCTAAGCCCTCCTCTCCTGAGGAGTCAGGGGATCATGAGGGGGCTCTCCTGTTCCTTCCCCTGCCCCTACCTCCTATCCAGGCCCCTGGAACAAGCTCTTTCTTCCCCCCCCTTCCCCTCCCACTCTACAAGCCATGGGTATTTCTCAATTTTTGCAAAAAACAACTTTCTTATGCTCTAATTGTGCCAACTGGCCCGTCTAGATGCTTGGGCTCCTTTTGATTAATGAATGGCTGGAACCCAAAGCCATCTGACCTGTGCTAGAGGCTGATACCCACGTCCTGTTTTTCCATTAATAATCAGCTCTTTGGGATTAGACACAGTCATTTACTTGATATAAACAGAATTGAAGTGTGAGTCCTCTGCCCAGTTGGCACACCCTCAGATGGGGGTCATCGGGCTGCTGGACCCCACCCTAACCCAGCGGTTAACTACATCCAAGGGGAGCAAGGGACTTCCTTCTCTCATGATTTTCTTCTCCTTTTCTAGGGCCTGAAGTCCAACCAGAGGCAGTACAAGGCTGAAGGACATCAAGGCAGGCTACTTACACCAGCCACAAGACTGAAGGAACAAAGAATCCAGAGGCCCCAGGGGTTGGCAGGCATGGTCTTCAGCTGGGAAAGTGGGCAGCCACCTCCAGGCTGGGATGCTTCTGTGTCCTGAACATCTGCCCTCTTGGGCTTGCTTGGTACACAGGAAGGCACCTGCATAGTCATGGCATGCTGATTGGGTCTGAACTTTTATTCAACTGGCTATTCAGCTGAACTAACTATTCAACAGTGTGGGGGGATCAGCTTGTTCTGTTTACCTCCTCTTCCCTCCTCCTCATTCAAGAAGACCCTCCTTCTAGGCTCAGGGGAAGCCCAGGCACTGTCCAACACATTGCGTTGAACTTGAAGAAGGTACAACTAGACCGAGCTCTTATCCAATTCAGAGATGTCACAAAGGGGGACCACCAGGCAGCAAAGGGGTGGGAGGTGGACAGACAGAGAGGACAGCAGAGTCTGGACTTGCAAAAGGTGAAGCTGAGGGGCAAACTCTGCGATGATGAATGTGAATAGTGATAAATGTCAAATCTTCTAGCTGAGTTAAAAGCAAACATACTGCCCCCAAATTCAGGAATAAAGCCCTGTGGTCAAAGGGCAAGTCATTTGAGAAAGCTCCGGGGATTTGAAAGACCTTCCAGTCACTCCCTCCAACTCCTCCCCACTTCTGCTGAGGGCTTGGCCATCCTCCCCATCACTCACTCTCACCCTTGGAGCATCTTGGCTCCTCTCTCCTTCCAATCCCACTTCCAGCCATCTGCCAAGTCCTGCTGTTCTTCCTCCTCTATGTCCCATCTCTCCTTTCAAGTGCTTGTCACCCTCGTTTAAGCTCCTAGCACCCTCTCACCTGAATTATAGCAACAGCTTTCTGCTTGGTTTCCTTGCTGCAGTCCCTGCCCGCTCCAATCTATCTCAGGCCACTCAGCCGCCAAGGTGACTGGCTAAAGCGCCTTCTGCCCATGACCCTCTGTTGTTCAGAGACTCCCTATCACCCTTCCTCCCACCTGGAGGCTCGCAGCCCTTCATGTCTAGTTAGCCACCGAGAAAGAGAAGCTTTTGTTTGCCCTCCATTCCGGTTTGGCAACCAATTGAACAGCTCTAAGCCCACTGCTCAGTAAGTAGCCCAGAAATAGTCGCAGGATAACTGGGTCTGCTTGGAATTGGGACAGGTCTCCTCTATTCCACAGCATCATTATGCATTGCACTCTCAAAAGCAAGACCCCTCCCACATGGGCTGGAGGCAGGCAGAGCTTTCTGCACGCACGCTGAGGACCAAGCTCCCACTGGCCAGTGTCAGCTTACAATGGAAAGCACAGCAGGTCAACAAAGACCTTGAATTGAATCTTATTTCTGGCATTGTGACCATGGAGCAGCCGCCTAACATCTCTGGGGCCCAGTTTGCCTTATCTGTTAAAAGGGGACAATCACAGCTATAGTACCTACTTCTTAGGACTGTGGGGAGAAAAGCCCAGAATTGTTCAGCAATAATGAGGCTGCTGTTACCTTCTCTGGGCATGGGCAGCTCCCAATAGAATGTGAGATACTGAGGGCAGGGACTGTTTGCTTTATTCCCAGCATCTGGAGGCCAAAATGCCTGTTGGATTTCGTGGGAGTCAACAGTGTGAAGTGACTTCTGATCTTGGTCTGCCTTCAGGAAGCGTGAGCTCTAGGACTAGGCAGAGGATCTGCTGTTTTCCATTGGCACCAGGCATTGATCGATCAAAACCAGTCTTCAGGGCATATGCAGGGAGCAAACATCCAGCTCATTTCACCATGATGAGGAGGTGTCAGGGGACTGCCCACATAGCCAGGCCTGTGCCAGCTGCTTGGTGCAAGGGCTATTCCTTTATTCTCTGTCTCTCCAGAGCCTGACACCAAGCCAGGAACACGGCAAGGACTTAATATCTGTTGAAAAGAAATGACCATTGCATACCCAAAGATATTTCAACCTGAGTGAATGCCCCTGGAATTCAGGGAACGTCTTCTCTCCCCACCAACTGGCAGGAAAAGACAATCATTAGCCCTACAGGCTTCTGATGATCTGGGCTGCCCACTCTAGGACTGCCCCTGCTGGAGTGATGATCTTCCAGAGCCTTGCTCCAGTGCCTGGCCTGGCCTGCCCTGGGGATGTGGGCACCTGGCCCACCTAAGCCCCCACAGTGACCATGTCCCTGGTGCCCACTCCCAGCTCTGGCCCCCCTATAGCTTGGCTCAGTCACCAAGGGACGGGCAGGTGAGTTCAAGCCTCTCCAAGCCCAGGGAGGTAGAGGAAACAGTGTGGGTGTGGTGTGGGTGTAAGTGTGTGCCAGGGGTGGATTTGAGCAGAGGCAGTATGCTGGGTACCTGGAGCACACCTCCCTCCTTAAACTTTAAACTCGGTCTAGACTTTGCCCTCCAGGGCAGTAGTAAGGACTGGATCCAGGTGCTTGTCTCCCAGGAGACCAGCGGGGCTTCTCTCATGCCCAAAGCCAAGGCTTTAGGATGTGTGTTCGTGGAGGCCTGCCAGGCAGGGGCAGGGGCAGGAGCTAGGTCTGGCACGTGAGGGTAGGAGAGGAGAAGCCGCTTCTCAAGGCAGTGGCAGAACCGAGCCCCACTACCCCAATTCTGAGCCAGCCTAAGGCTTACTGTGCTCCCAGAACTATGGTCAGCGATCCCTTGATGAAGGATTGAGGTGTGTTCATGTCAACCATGTTAGCAATAGTCCCAGAGAGTCCCTCCCACCTTTAAAATGCTTTCATGCTGCTAACTCCTGTGTCTAGTGAGCTGTGGGAGCTACAAGGCATGTTCCCCCGGGGGCATTTCACATAAGTCCCATTTTAGAGAGGAGGTAGCTGAGGCTGAGAGCCATTGAAGGGCTTGGCCAGGATTGCAGAGAAGTCACAGTCTGAGCCCAGCCCCGAGATCCCCATCTTACTTAGAGGCAGGGAGGAATGATGAGTAAGGGTGCAACCCTCCCCTCCCTTGCTGCCTGAGGTAGCCCTTCCCCTCAGGAAAAGGTACAATCATCCAGAGGCTTCCTGATTTTCGAACTTACTTGCCTCTTTTAACACTCCCTGTCCCCTCCCCCCTCCCCACTGCTCCTGGCACCTTTAGGGACAAGAACACTAACTTCTCTTCCCCAAAAACTCTTCAAATACTTGACATACACCCAGAGTCAGGAAGACCTGAGTTCAAATTTGGCTTTGGACGTTTACTATCTGTGTGACTCTGGGCAAGTCACTTAACCGCTATTGGTCTCAGTTTTCTCAACTGTAAAATGGGTATAACAGCATCTATCTCACAGGGCTATCATGAATCTCAAGTGAGATAATGTCTACAAGTGCTTAGCACAGTGCTTACTGAGTGATGTATAAATGCTCAGTCCTCCTCCTCCTCCTCCTCCTCCTCCTCCTCCTAACTCTAGGTCCTTTGCTTTTTCTAGGGCCTCACTTCCCCTGGGACCCAGGTCAGCTCCAGCCCTGAGAGTCCCCAAGTTCGGGGTCCTAAGGGATGAAAGATCCAATCGGAGCCTGCAAATGGGGAAGGAGCTGGCAGGTGGACACTGAGGGAGGTGAAGAGGAGGGTGGCATGCATCCTCCCCTTCCAGGTGAGAAAAGATGTATGTCCTGAATGTGTTGATCATATTCCCCACGAGTAGACTTTGCACCTCCATGACCCTGTGGCCAAGTGAGCATGGAGCCCACCTGTGCAGGCCAAGTCCAAGGCTCAATCATTCACTCCTGGAGAGCTGTTTTCTGTGTCCAAAGGAATCTGCAGCCTCTGGCCTCAGTAAGAGCATCCCTGTAACGGGGCAGAAGCAATTATGAAGCGGGCCGACCACAGTGGTCTTTATACTCCCTTCCTCCCCCTGCTGTGACCCAGCATCCCCAGGCTTACCCCCACACTGGTCACCAGCTGCTACGCTGGCCCCTTCCCCCTCCCCCGTACATTTCCTTCCCTGGAGAACAGGTTCTTCACTTCCCCCTCCTGACTTCCACATGATGTGGCAAACTCATTAACTAATGGGAGAGAATCCTCCCCTCTCCCCCACACATCCCAGTCCTCTTTTTCCTCCTCCTCTTTCTCCTCATTCTCACCAGTAATATGGATGTTTTCATAAGGACTTCCTGGGAGTGACTCTCACCTAGCTATTTCTGGCCATGGAACACTAGAATGGGAGGGGTCTTTGGGAGGTGGTGGGGTTCTCCAGCAATACCCAACAAAGCCACCTCATCTTTGTCACTGAGAATAGATAGGACTTCACTTCTTCTGATACTACCCTAGACACTGCTTCAGTCAACAAACATTTTTCAAGGAGCAAGCATTGGGACATAGACAAAAATGAAATGTTCTATCAGAGAAAACAATACTGGACACAGATAACTAAAACAAATTATGTGAAAAGTACAGTCGAGGCACTTTTAGGATGGCGAAGGAATTAGAAGCTGAGGAGGATCGGGTGGGGGAGGGCTCATGTAGAAGGGGCCTTTGGCCTGAGCTCTGAAAGAACAAAGGGTTTTTTCAAGGTTGAGATGAAAAGGGAGAGTGCACCAGGCATGGAGTGTGGCCAGCATATGGCATGGAGATGAGAGTTCAAGACTTGTATGTATATGAGGAACAGAAAGCAGGTCAGTTGGCTGGGCACCATGAAGAGTAATGATATGGAACACATTTTGATTTGGACAGAGAACAGCCACTTCTCTCTGGAATCCTGGTGGACTTCCACACTGCACATTTGGCCAGGAACTTGATTCTCCCTCTGATCCCTGACCTAGTAGACAGGTCAAAAAAGGCAACATTCAACCTTTGTGTCTTCCCTAGATAATGGCAAAGGGAAATGAATTTGCCACTTCTGCTCATTGGTACTGGTACATATTGGACAAGTGGGTGAGGTTGCTGGTCTCAGTGGACCTGGGTCAGCTTCCTCCCCGTTTCCTTAGTGATAAGGTGAGGCATAGAATCAAGTGGGACATTGGGTCAGAAGACTTGTCATGTACATGAATAACTCTCTGGGAGTGGGGGAAGGGGAACCTGGTCCTGAAACCCAGTGGGCAGCAGTTACTGGCATTCTTACTCCGGTTCTATGATGTCCCTTGATGCCAGAAGGGGTGGGGCCCCAAGCCCTTGGGCAATTTTATAACTCAGTTTTATGACTCACAGACAAGTCTGCCCAGGGTCAAGTGTGTTCTTTC